GAACCAGAATGAAGCCGGTTAGTTGGCTGATTCATTGTGGTGTTGCATAGGCTAGTAGTCATGAAAATTACCACTAGGACTATTAAAGTACTGAATTGGTAACTAGTGCCAGCAACCAAGGCTTGGGAAAACTCATTTGCAGGAGTTGTATTAGCATGTGAACAGCTAAATAAGCATGCTGAGGGGATCCAGGGCACTGTATGGTGAAGGCTAACAGGAAAGTATGGTTTGCTGGAGGCTTCTAGGAACAATATAGTTTGCTACTGTAAATCCAGATAGTCATAAAATCTAGATAGCAGTGAAGAGTCGAAGTCTGGCTTTCCACAAACTTGACACATTAATCTCGGCTGAGAGTAACCTCGACTCTTCCTCTTCCTTATTAAAGGTACAAAACACCAATGTATGGCTGTGTGATTAGTGTAATTAGGTCGATTAGATCAGTCTAAAGCTCCTGGTTGTCCCACAAACAGAGATCCTTCTTATAATGAGGAGTTCCTAAATCTTCAAACATCACATTCTGAGCTTGTTAGCTAGATGCGACACAAAGCCAATGTTTTGATAGTTGGACCTCAGTGGATTTACTATAATCATAGATTGTTGTAGTGGCATTCCAGAGACGTAGAGAGGCAACTAATTCAATGTTATTCTTAGCAGCATCAACGCAGAAGAACATTGACTCGTTAAAATTCATTAGTGCCACATTCTATTTCTCTAGCCTCATTTTGTGTTTATGTAACAGAAGTTGAGCTTCTTGAAAGGAAGTTCGACTAATGTTAGAGTAGGATTAGCAACCACAGCATCATATTTAGATCCAAACCATCAAAATATACATCAACAGTTCTTCATAGCAATATGAACACCACTAGCATTGAGCTCATCACCTAATTCTTATTCTCAAAAACATACTCATTATACTTGAGATTCTTTCTTAGTTGTATTTAACATATTCTAAGATGCAAAGTTGTTGCTTTCGAAAAAGACTAAATGAAGCTTTAGGTATTCCAAATTTCATACGCATTAGTACATTTAGAACAGTCTGACATTGATTCTGAAATCGATGAATGTAACCAGCTTAAAGAAACTGATTAGTATTCTTCTAGGTAAAATACTTGTGTTTGGTCATTTAACAACTTCTCACTATCCTCTAAACTCTCCATTAGAAAATAGAAGGACAAGCATTAGTACCGTGCTGAATCCATCTAGCTCATGAGCAGCCAACATGGTAGAACTGAGATTTCCAGAAATTATAGTTCCTTTCAAGTAATTTTACAATTAATGTTGGAAGAGCTAGCTAAACTATCAAATTTGGGCATATCCAGTGTTCACTTGTTCAAACTCCATTTCAAGCTTATCGATTCAAGAATGACTTTAGGATCAACCTTCGACGTTTGTCTAGGGCTCTATACCATGAAGAGGTTGGAGAAAAGGAAAGACAATGTAGTAAGAAAGCACGAAAAATACAGAGAAAAGTTAGTTAGAACTGAATTAAGAACATATCTGGAAAATTCTCATAACACAAATGAGCAGGTCGGTAATGTTTTATAATGTAAAGCATTACCAAAACACTACTTTTTACAAAGTTTAACAAACAAAACAGAATCTAACTTTTACAAAATAACCCAAACTAACTCTTGTGAAGTTACAATATGTCCTGAGTATTATATTACTCATTTATGCTATAATTATTTTATATTATAATTAATTGTAGAAAAAAGTGATAAAACTATTACTTGGACCATAATGGCTATTAGAGTTGATGAATCTAGTCAAAGTTTTAGCTACCCATTTTAGCACAGCAGAAATGATTTACCATGTTGATTGAACCATATCAAGTAAGTATGAATCAACAAACATAAGCATGAAAGTAAAGAACACAAGCATATACATGGTTCGACTAAAACCACTCTTAGCCTACATCCATAAGACCTTGTCCAGATCAAAGCTAATGCACTAAAGCATCAAACATTACAAGAACAATTCAAGTTCAATTTAGTATAACAAAGTAAAACCCCCTGTTCTATGATACACTAAACTTCACCCTTTGATTTCCTTAATGATTTGTCACACTTGGATCACTTCACAACGAGAACACTCCCAGGCAAGCTTGACTCCTCCCAAGCTTCAAACGTTGAAGACACGCTCCAACTTCAATACTAAAACCACGTTCAGCCGTCATTCATCAAAGATGATAGATAATATGATTTGAGCACAAATACATAAAAAGAACCTAACCAAGAAAAAAAAAAAAAACTCTTTGAATAAATTCAAGCACAAGCAAAATGAATATTCAAGTTAGTTCAAAACAGATAGCAAGAAAGAGAGATAGAAGAATTTCTTGCTCAATAATTCTTGCTAAGTTAGAGGCTGACATGTGTGGTCCAAAAGGGAAAATCTCACCAAACTTTTGGGACACAACCTAACGAGAAAAACAAATTCCCTGGACCACTTGTGGGTTTTAGGACATTTGTAAGTGAACCTCACAACAACATATCAGATAAGGAAAGATCTCAATCAAATAATGAAAATCGCCACTTGACAAAATAATCTAACATGCAGATGTTTGCACATAGTATGATGTATGCACATAGTTGAATAAAAAAGCAACACGCATAAGTCTAATTTTAGTGTGCAAACACAAAATAGATGTGCACACACTGAAACACAACATGTATTAGTTTGACGTCAGTGCACAAACATATCACAGTTGTGCACACACCATAAGTTTGACAAAAGTATCAATAGTACTAAAGTTGATTTCAATTTTGGACAAAAAGTATAAGGATGTTTGTATTGGTCATGGAAGGAAAATAAAATTCGTTATGCGGTTGGTGGACCTTCAAAACCCTACATGTTCTTCAAGGGCATGTATGCTCTATTCTATTTCTTGCTGTTGTTTAAATAATCAAATAAACCATAAAATTAAGTCATATATCTCTTGAAAAATGAAACATTTAATTTATCATTTGTGTGTTCTACTCCTACAACTTTAATGACACAAACTCACAGAAGTTGCTAATGAAGGTAGGAAAGAGAGGGCTTGTTGATGAATTTAACTTTGATCCAAAGGTCTGTTTGTTTTATTATTCCTATCCCGCCCTACCCAAAATACATATTTGTTTCCCTATTTTCAAAATCCAATTCTATTCCATTAGACTATTTTTAAACCCCCTAGGTTTCTTAATTTAACTAAACACTCCCAACAAAAAAAAGTTTATAAATTAACAAAAACACTACCACCCACCCACATTTGTCGAATTCTGACCACCACCACTGGAAGGTGGTTGGAATCTAGCGTAATGGCACACTACCGGCTAGATCTGGCCGATAGTGCGCTGATCTAGCATTTTTCGGCTATATCTATTGTGGATTTGGCCAGAAAAGGTCAAATATAAGGCCAAAGATCTAGTCGTTGATGGCCAGATCTTTGGTCACATCTGGTCGTCAACGACGGCCATATCTTTGGCCATCGTTGATGAAAAGTTGTGGCTAGATCGGGTCATAGATCTGGCCTTTTTTGGTTAGATACATGGTGGATCTAGACGAAAAAGGTCATATCGGCACACGATTGACTAGATCCAGATGGTAATGCACCATTATGGCAGATTCCGGCCATCTTTCAGCAATGGTGGCCGAAATCTGGCAAATATGGATGGATGGGGGTGTTTTTGCCAATTTCTAAACTTTTTATTGTAAGGGGTATTTTGCTAAATTAACAAACCTATGGGATATTTTTGTTAATTTTCAAATCCTACCTCATAATAACAACCCAACTCAACTTAACTTTTTCAAAAATTCTATTCAAAATAATAAAGCAAACACAACCAATTATAAATACTCACATTGTTGGACTTGTAAAATATGTTCTCAAAGGTAACTAATTTGTTTCTATATTATAAGTTTTACATTTTGTATTTAAATAACATCAAATGATCATACTAAATCTATAAGTGATCATTTGATGATATATGATTGAGGAGATTTGTATTTGGTTTCTATATATTTTGTATTCAAATCTCTGTTTTAAAAACTGGACTGGACCGGTCGGTCGGTCGGACCGGTTGGACCGAGAACCGACAGCTTCTCCGATCCAGTTTAGGTCTCAGGGGGGTTTTTAAAATATTTTAAAATTATGAGGGTTACTTTGTAATTTTATAGGGGTATTTTGGAGATATATCAAAAATTTAGGGATTAATTGGTAATTTTATTGGGGCATTTTTGGAATAAATAAAAATTTCAGTGACCACTTTGAACTTTTTTAGGAGAATTTTTGTAATATATTGAAATTTAAGGGGCTAATAATAATTTTTTAAAAATAAAATATTGCTGGCGTCATCGGTCCAACCGGTTGGACCGGTTGACCCGTGACCCGGATAGCAAAATGGTTTGCCCTCCGGTCCGGTTTTTAAAACAATGATTCAAATAAGATCAAATGGTCATATTATATCTAGTAGATAAATCACCGTTATTACCACCCTATTGAACTACACTGAAAAGATTAAACAAATTTGAGATTTAAAGAATTGCCTACTGAAAATATTAAACAGTTTTGAGATTTAAAAAATTGCTTACTGAAAAGATTAAACAGATTTGAGATTTAAAGAATTGTCTACGTGAATCATCGTTTATATAGGGGACAAAATAAAAAGGCCTAAAGGACAAAGGCCGAAAAGTTTAATAAAAATAAGCAACTAGACGACACTATCAATCAAACCAAGCCCATTGATACGTACAATATTTCATAGAAATATTTCTCAATATTCATAAAATAACCCTACAACAATCTCTCAACTAATTATACAATAAGGTAATAGTCACATATTTTGTTAGCAAATAAAATTTCATCATTTAAAAAAGATCATAACATTATACTGAAAGCATCATTTTCACACAAAACACAGAAGATGCTATGGGATAATCGCAAATATCAACTATCCTAAAATTAATCATTCTAGGGCTAGAGGGAGGGATCCATGTTAATCATAAGGGGGCTAGGGGAGGAATTAATCCATGGGAGAGGCATCATCAGGGACATTATTATTCTCAGAATTCTCAGAGGTTACAATCTGATGGTTGACGTTCTGCTCCAATTGAAGATTAGAATTATGCCAATGTCTGCAAATTATGTCTTCCCAATCTTCAAAATTAGTAGAAAATGCATCGTCCATCCCCAAGCTAGAAGTCAATGCTTGATATTCTGCATTGATACTAGCCTGAATCTCACCAAATTGAGAAATTTCAATAAACGGATTCTGCGGAATCTGATGCATATAATCATCAGATGCATTATCGGACTCCATAGAATCATTCACTCCATTGTCACAATCCACATTAATAAAGGATTCTAATATAGAATTCACTTTGCTATCCAGAAATATTTTTCGGGATTTATTATCAACCTTGTTGTAAATTCTACACAAACACCAATCATCCAACTGCAAAACAATGAACAAATTTTAGGAACATATAGACAGATTTTAGGTATATATTTAAAGGTTAATTTAAAATATAGATTGAAATTCATAATGCAAATCAGTGTACCTTCTCGGAATTTGAACTTGTTTTACTCGGAGGTGCATCTTCAACTCTAAATTCATGCATAATCCAGTTCGTCTTTCGACCTCTAGGAGGTTTTCCTTCGTAAAAAACCAATGATTTCTTGAACCCTACCACTTTGCCGTTAAAAACTATTGGTTTGTCAGATCCAGTAGCTTTCCAGTATCCATCACCGGCGGATCGCTTTGGTCGATTCCCTTTTGGATATTTCTTATATCTTGGTGTAAAGAAGTAAAATTTCTTCAGTCCAGTTCCCTTGTACATCTCTGTTGTCATATATTAAACCATGCATAGACAATACTAAAAATTAAACCTCCAAATTGGAATGTTTAGAAGCTTAATTCAAATTCCAACCAATAAGAATAAAAGTATAAATAGTAACAATTATGTCTAGGGCCTTAACTAACCCCAACTCAATAGAATACCAAAATATCCAACAAAAGTTGTCATGTGAAAAAAACCAAATGCCCATAAATACACTGTTGATCAGATTTATTATATATATGAATCAATACACAATGAAAACAATTCAGAACATTGAGTTATCTCAATTCTCCAAATGTAATTCTTTGACTTATGAAAAACCAATTATGAATCAAATTTTATGACTTATGAAAAACCAATTAAAAAGTATTTAACCGAAAAGAAGAAAAAAAAAATCTCAATTCTCCAACTGTAATTCTTTGCTGATGATCAATACAAATTAATTTCAAAACCCTAATTATGTAAACAGTGTAAGATTTATAAACCAAAAACATAAAACTTGTAAAACTATAAACAGAAGTAAAATTAATAAAATAATAACATGAAACATTTAAATCAGGAACACAAAACTTAACTATAAGTCATTATACACACAAAAAAAAAAAAACAAAAAAAAAAACAAAAAACAAAAAACAAAAACCAAAAACCAAAAACCAAAAACCAAAAACCAAAAAAAACAAAACAAAATGTAGCAAAATCATTAATTGTTTCATATATACCGGCAATGGTCTCAGGATTGTGATGGCTTAATTCAATCTCAATGATCATGTTAAGAGGCAAGGCCTCGTTCATCACCTTCTTCCTCAAGTAATAAACAATAAGCTCAGCATCAGTACGATGGAAACGAAAACCAGCCGGAAACGAATAAAAAAACGATTTGACACCACTGCAGCTGCCATTGGCACACCTTTTAAGGTCTAAATCCTCACAGCCATTAAGCTCTACTCCAAACGGAGAGATCGGCGACTGTCTATCCAGCAGCCTTTTTAAAGTTACTTGAGATTTTTTAGCGAATGTTAATGGTGGTTGGATTTCAGGGTTAGGGTTAGGGTTAGGGCTAGATCCTAGTTTTGAGGCGGAGGAGTTTGAAGGAGTTTCCTGAGGAGGAGAAGACATCGAACCAGACGTCGCTCAGTTTTCTCAGAGAAGTTTGGGTGATGAGAACTTCTCAGCTACTACGTATTTGAACTTATATATGAATATGATTATAACACATCTTAATTTTATATAATTAATAATAATAATTTTAAATTTAAATTATTTTGTTAATATTAATTTTGTTATATTCTGTTATATAAAGATATAAAGATATAAAGAGAGTCTATGATATAAAGATGTAAAGATATATTAATTAATAATAATTTTATACTCTCCAAAGAATATAAAGAGGGTCTATTATATCATATAAAGATATATTAATAAATAATAATTTTACAGGTGTTAATATTAATTTTGTTAGATCATGTTATCTAAAGATATATGTCCAAAGAATATAAAGAGAGTCTATGATACAAGGAGGAAGGTAACACATGAAGTTATTAACATACAGTTTAATAAGAAACTATCTCAAAATTATTTATTAAAAAAAAAAACTAGTAGGGAAAAAAGTATATACAAACTCAATAGCCTAGTAGAAATTTTAGTAAAGGAATGGTATTGATTTAGTTCTATTTGAAATTTAAATATTCTGTTTGGGTATATTTTATTCTTGTTTTTAAACTTTTTGAATTTATTTTTATTTGATGATGTTGATCTGTTTTCATTTCAATATTCATATGCAAAAAGTAATAATAATAATAATAATAATTTTTGAAATTAAATTATGTTATCTTCCCTCTATATTTTATTTTATTTTCAAATTTTTCCAATTTAAAAGTTAAAATTAAGTTATTTGTCTATCTAGTATCATGGAGATATCTTATATATTGATATTTAAAATTTTTTAACTAAGGATTAATAATAATTCAAATAAACATGTTAACAATTAGTTGATAAGTAATTATTTGATAAAGTTAAAGACGGAAGATTATAATAATTGATTAGATAAAATATCACTACGTCCCCTAAGAATATTTATTATAAAAATAAGCACATCCCTTAAAAAATAATCATAAATACAAAACAAATTTACCCTTACAATTTTTTATTTTTTTTTAAACTAGAATAATTATTACTGTTAGAAGTTAAAATTGTAAATTCACTAAGATTAAAGGCGTTTAAATGTTGATGATGTTTATTTAAAAAAAAAAAAAAAAAAAGATGATAATGATCTTATTTTAAACCTAAAGTTTAGGTTATATTTACTATCATCTTCATCATAATAAGTTTTTTATTTTTAAATTTTTTTTCAATAACACGTGGAACAATCCTAGCCATTGAGCTAATATAAAACAAATTTTGGTACTTTTAATTCTTTTTAATTTTTATGGGCATACATAGAGGAGTATATAACGTTTTAATTTAATTTTCTATTTAACTCCACATTTGCTGATAAATAAAGATTAACTTTGACTGTCACAATTAACTGCGAAACTTAACAAAGCTAACTGCTACTGTTAAGTAACAAAATTTATATTTTAACAATTAATTGTGAAATGTTGGAATTCGAAAGAAAAACAAAAGAAAAACTACAACGAAAATGTTATATGTAATGATGATACGTGATTTTGACACCAACAATTCGCACGTGCAAAGTGCTAAGTTAGACTTAGAAATTACAAGTGAATGATTGTAATCAGATACAAAGATTGAATAATAAATAAGAGATATGATTTTTAAAGTAGTTCGAATGCTTAAAGCGAATCTTATGCCCACCATTTCTTTCATATGTGAGAGATTACAAGAGGTCGCGTATAGCGAACAGCAAACAGAGGTATAATGACTGAGTATTCAGAGAGAATGTCAAGCCAGTATTTTCCCATAGGTTATCTTTGCTCTGAAAATAAAGATTACAATCAGAATGAGAGTTCAATATTAGAATCTCGAAAATGAGAGGGAGAGTCCTCTATTTATTGTAGAGGAATTCAAGGTAATGATTACAAATCTGCAAATGGGTAGGTGTCGTCGTGTAAGACTTTCCTTGCCTCTCATTGGCTGATAACTTAAGAAATATCCTCAAATTACCTAGGGCTTGGATAGGTGTGTGGTCTTCCGTCACTCATAGACAAAACTTGAATCTGCTAAGTTGATGACAGCCATATTCTTTTTGTCATGGAACAACGTGGCAGCTCCTGGATGGCGCAAAGCCTTCCTAAACTCTGATTGGTATTTGCTGACATAAGTTAATGTCAACCTTGATTTTTTAGACATAATAAAAGCTCCCCAGTTCTTAAGATTCAAAGATTGAATCTTGAGAACTTCATAATTGTGCTGCGATCTGACTTGTCTCGAGGAGTGTTTGCTCGAACTAGCAGTTGAGAACAACCACATTGTTGCAAACGACATGAGGCTGATAGTCTGATTCGACTAGCAAACTGAGTGTAGATCACGACATGGGTCTCGAGAACTACACAAGTGATCTGACGTGATCATTCACAAAGGTCTAGCGACCTGAACCAGATCATGATCAGTGCTATGAAAATGTGTTTCGTACTTTACCTGTCATTTATGACCTGAAAACACTTAGAACATTTTGCTGTCAACAATTGAGAATCATTTTGCTTGGTGTTCGAATGTCACATGCAAAAAAAATGTCTTATTTGAACAACCTCCTCAGATGTTATCCGTTGCGTTTGATAGTTGTCTTGGTCAATAAAATAAGTTTTATCTGACAGACGTGCCTCTGCGCAATAAATGCAAGCCATAAGCATTAAATGCAAGTCATGCTAAAACGACATTCCCTTTTAAAGCATTAAATGCAGATGAGGGCGCATTTAATGTGGAGGAGATAATCACACCGATGTTTGGCAATGTCAATAAAGAGAAACGTCGATTGATCTTCACGAGCATGAAGATTACTCTTTGCACATATCAGTGACACGTGGTCACAGTCAACAGCTGGAAACGCGTTCTTGCCCAAATGTTACTTATAAAAGAAACCAAACATCGTCTTCCACTGTTGGAGTCATGAAAGTGACTCTATTTTGATGATAAAAAGACCCTTTGTGTTATTAAATTGAAGTTATATTGAGACAATTGAAGAAATCATGAAATTATTAATGGAAAATCACTTTTTAATTTTTCTTTACAATTTGTGCATATTTGGAATGAATTTTGAGATTGTGTAAATTGATATTAAGGTGTGATTTGTTTATTAGAGTTGGTTTTGTCTCATTTATGCTATTTAGCGGTCAAATTGTCATAAACACTTGGGGTTGATTTTGTCACTTTTTATTTGTACAGGGACTAACTAAAATTTACCATATCTACTATAAAAAGAAAGCCAAAGGTCGTAGAATAGTGGCTGCTACCCACCAAAACCCTTCACCTTCTCCGATTAAGCTCCGGCTAGCATCTCCAACTACTCACCAGATTCCCCTTGCACTGATCTCCACCACCCATCACCCCCCGTTGTTGAACGATGCTTCATCTCCCCTCACCAACGACGTTTCAGCTTTCAGTGGCATTTCTCCCATTTTTTGATGGCCTCGCACTTCCCAAGTGGCCGATCTATGTTCCCCATGCTCAAATCCACCTTCCTCCAAATTTCATCAATGTCAAAATCGCCGAAATCCACCATCACCGCAATCACGCCTTTTCAACTTCCATGATGGTTTTTGTGCACTTTTCGATGACTTTTCACCTTCTAATAAGTCGATCTATCATCCCCATCACTTGATCTATATCCCGGTACCTTCGGATCCCATTTCTGCCACCGCTCGTTGGAAAACTAACGTATTCCAATGAGTTGCAACTGTTCGTATTCTGGGTTGTCCATTAGTCTTTTTCGCTCCTTCTTCACATCATCTCGCTGTTGGTTACGTCCTCTTCACATGACCAGCCCCATTTTCAACTTTTTAGCCTTCATCGACGCCACCATGAGTGATTGAGCTCCCGGTTGTCTATTACGGTGTTAGTGAGATCGAGATCGACACCCATGGCTCTCCTCAACAGTTCTCGACTAGTTGGATGAGCCTGATTGTAGGACATTTGGTAGTATTGTGTTTCGAACTATATTTGTTTTCGTTTCATGTTTGATTTCGATCTTTAATGTAGTTTGAGCATAATTTGTGATGAATATAGTTGTCCCTTGTGATTAAATGTTTTCATAGAACTTACTGAATGATAGACGTTGGTTTGAGATAATTAGATGAATATTTCTTTTCATTACTTTGAATCGATTGTAATTGAGTTGTGTTCTGATTTGATGTCATTTCTATTGTTGTTACATTTATCGTGAAGTTGGTTGATTAGATGATACGTGTTGACAAATTGTATTTGTTAATTGCGTATCAACTAGTGGTATTGTCTTGTAGTGTTTGTCAGCATTCAATGATAATCTTTAACCAATCGAACTTGAGTGATCGGGTAAGACAAGATAGATTATACCTAGAGTGTCGAAAAGCCATTTAATTGGTCTAACTTGCCTTCTAGGTTTAGGGGATCGTAGAGTGTGGATGAGAATTGCGTGAGTTGGTATCGTGTCAAACCAAAACCGTAGCGGCAACGTTTTTATTATAAAGTCTTCATTAGTTTTAATTTCAAGCTTTTATTATTTGCATTTAGTTTGTTTAGTTTAATTAATCAATTTGCCAATTTCATTATCGTTACTCAAATTTACACTAGGTTGTTAGTAATTTCTCCCTATGGATTCGACCCTGCTTACCGCTAACTACGGTATTTAGGATTAATTTTGCGACCATGACGATCAGCTCGACAAATTTTGGTGCCGTTGTCGAGGAGCAACGTGCTTTTGACTTAGTGTGTTTGGGTTTGTAAATACTTTAAGTCTAATTTTTCTACGTTCTTTAATTGTCATTAGGACAGTTTCATTTGTGTTTGTTTTTTAATTTGCAGGAAGATTGCAATTGGAGAAATGTTGCAGCGTGTCGTGTGCATCAAAGTTTAAGCGTGACCTGATTGTAATATTTTCTAATCTTTTTAGCTTTAGTTCTTTTTAGTTATTGTTAATCGTTTTATGATGTTTGCATGTTTTCATGTTTGTTTAGTTTGCATGT